TTCGTCAGGCCTACTGTAGTTCTGATAACTGAATCGTGGTGCTCGTCCTCTGTGCTTGACACGCAGTTAGGCACAGATGATTACACTCTACACTGGGTAAAAAGATATTGCAAGCGTGGTGGGGGATGCCTCACATGCGTACAAAACTCATTTGTTGTTAGTGAGGTGGAAGATGAGATACCTGATTCACTTTGGGCCGTCTTACAAACTTCTCATGGGCTGTATTTATCACGCACCATGCTCAACCCGATAAACTGATACATCACTGGTTATACCGTTTGCACACATCTCCTCGTTCAGCACTAATTACAAAATAATTGCAGAGGACTTCAATCCTCTGGAAGTCAGCTGGTCAAGTATTTCTGGCTCTCAACTATTCGACGAATTATTTGCCTCCGTTGATTGCTGCAGATGAAAACAACACGCCGAGACACCCACCGTGGTGACACCATGTTGGAACTTGTGTTCTTTCATGACGCAACCCTGGTGTCCACCTATGTTGGTAACGGATTTTGCAGTAGTGACAATAGAATGGTACTGAAGTAGGCCAGGGTAACGTTAGTTTGAGGTTGGCCTGTCATCATCATTCTTATATCAATGTATCATTTTGCCTAAGGTACCAGTGATCATCAATAGTCAACTAGAAGAAAAGTCACTGTTTAATCAAGAACAGTAATGTAATCTCTGTGGCAATTTAGGGCTTGACATCCCGCCTGCAAAGTTGTGTAATTTATGCAGTCGTACTCAGGCGCTTCAAGGTAAACTGCGCCGACTGAGAGCTCTGCTTAGGATGCTCAGCATTAATTTTTGCCGCCGCAAGTCTTAGCTATGCAGCAAATCTCTAGTATACGAGTAAGACCCGATAGGCCATGGGTTTACAGTCAAATGGCAAGGAGGTCACTGGAAATAGTACCCTCCAACCCCATAGTCACACTCTGTGTTCCGGTTGTGAAGACTGACATCGACTGAGATCAACATAGCTGTGGTCTACAGCAATGGAGATGACTCAGTTGGCTATGGAATGTCCAAAGCTAATCCCGATTTGTAGGCTGCCTAATCCTACTCACCCCAACATCGATTAGCTTACTACTGCTACTAGCTCTCAAATTCAGCTTCCAGGAGCACCTGGCTATAGTGCAGCAGCAGCGGTATCGAACAATCCTTCGGTGCATGTGTCCTTCGGCTCCGCGGAGATACTCAACACATTTCGATGTTACCTCCTTCACAAAATAAGTCGGGCTGATATTGATGTCCCTCTCCTCTCAAGATTCGAAGACAATGTAGACAGAAGAGAATTTCGCACGAGGATCAATAACTCGCAGCCATCCTGGTAGGAGGTTCTATCTTAGGTCCCTTGACGTCTTTGGTTCTTATCAATGAGTTGCATAAACCAATCTGGCTGTTTCCCACATTGATTATGTACAGATTTTGAGGGCAATAAGGCTCAGATTGGTAGCAGAAAAATTTGAGAATTATGGAAGACTGGGAAATGGTTAGTAGTATGACTTTCAGTCTGTACAAAATGAAAAGTATTACAAGGACTTGGCTGTAAGCCACAGAATGTAAGTTATTCGCTGTGTGATGATAACTTGCCCTTTGTGACGCCAGGGAGCAACTTGAGTCTTCTTCTAAAGGAGAAGATTGACACAAGCGTGAACTAAACGGGTGATGTTGTTAGGGCATATATGAGAATTCACTTTGCGCATAAACAGTTAGGTATGCCCACTCCTAAGGTTATACGAAACATATATCATACTGAATCCTGAATTACACAGCATGACTGCTTCCCATGTACTCATAGGGGACTCCAGTATTTTGGAAAAGGTCGAAAGATGGGTGATAAAAGGAGTGATGTGTCTCCAGAATAAAGTATCTAATGAAGGGCTGAAGAAATTTGGTCTCTTCACACTTGGCTGTAGTTGGCTTACGAGTGACCTAATTACTACCTAGGAGATTACGAACAGCTAGAATAGCCCGAATTAGGTGTTCTATCACGAAGTCACTACAGTCTACTATGTAGCAGCCCACGAATTATAGGTCATCAGGTAGCGAAGAGTCAAACGCTCTCCCATTTCTTTTCATTTAGATATTGGTGTCCATACAGTTGCGACTACTGCACATACTTCGGAAAGCACTAAGAGAAGGCTTGATAATTATGCAGATACAGTGGGGACGCTTCCAAAAAGGCTATCACCCTAAAACTCACCCACCACACACAAATCCATCTTTTTCCACTGTTCACTCTTTCTGGTCTCAATCTTCTAACTACTCTACCTACTCATTCACTAATTTTACTACTGTTATTATCATTGATTTTAATTAATTTTATCCATTTTTTCCTACTTATCAAACTCCACCATCTGTCTGTTTGTAAGTTTTTCTTTTGAAGTCAACATAGTCTACACTAATATTATCTATTGTTACTGCCATCATCATTATTAGTTTCCTTCTTCTCGACTACACTGGAGGACAAACAGGTGAAAGCAATAACGCCGTCTACAGCAGCAACACGGTTGTAACACACTATACGCTGTGAAACACGTATAACCAGTCCCAGTGCCACTCTCTTTGGAGTCAACCACAACTACGATAGTCAGGTGGAGGGACAAACAAAGCTGTCATTTACTGAAGATCAGAAACCGGTAACTCTAAACTATGACAGCCCAGAAGGAAACTGACTAATAGAGATCTTGGCAAATCTCTATCGACCAATCAGATGCGTCTGCAGCAGAAATGCGTTATTTGAAAGGCGTTTAAATATAATTGATGCAATGCTAAAATATAGTTACATAGATAACTTCCTTGTAAATGTTGCAAGAAAACCTTCCTAATTCTCATTGGAGTTCTCATACGTATGTTAAGCCAATTTCAGCGCATAAATTCATCTAGATAACTATAAATTACCGTGTTTTTTGGCTCAAGCATCGCACTTATCTTCCTCTTAGGTGACTCTAGAAAATTTCGATGGAATTTTTGTGGGTCCCATCGAAGGGATTAACGAAACTGTTCATGTTAATAACCAATTCATGAATATAGCTCAGGTATGATAGGTGGCTACACATTTTCCCTCTTCCTGTGGTTCACGCAGTACCTACAATACTACAACTGGATTAAATTTGCCGCGTTTTTCTTATACGGCACCCATAATGTCATCTAAATACTACGGACTCATCTAACCAGGAGCCCAAGCTCATCAATCCGTACATTAGAAAATTTCTTTTTAGGCTAATATAGTCTTAAGTCATCTAGGAACCTTTATTTTGAAACCAAAAAGTTAGCACAAAGAAATCAGTTGGTTTACACTAGCTCGTAGCGATATTGAACACAAAAACCTTGAAAGGAGTGGCATTTTTGAATAATTTTCAAGGTCGTCTGGTGCGAGGTAAGAAAGACGCTATAGTCAGTTTCAAGGTCATGATGGGTTCCTGCGTCTGCTGGTTATATGTTTCCGTGAATTCGTTTTCCATTGAATTTTAAAGGTTTTTTCGAACGTTTTGCTTGTTTTGGAGTATGTAGGTCAGTTTTTTGTCACTGGATGCTACTAAGACGTTTATTTTTAGCTTGCAGTTCCCAGTTTTTATGTTGGTAGTTAAGGATTATGGTAAATCTGCAATCATTGAGCCAATTCACGCATACTATGCTAATATAGTAACTTTTCTCAGTAATTAAACGCCTTAACTGTTCTGCCATTGTTGGATCAAACAGTGGCAGAACAGTTATGGATTATTTGCTTAAGGTAGAACTGTGTGCTGGTTTATCATCATGACTGGCACCAATTCAGCACCTTGTTCTTATTCTACGCATTATCAGAAGTAGCTTATCAGCCTTATTGCAGCCCTTCTAGTCCAGGTTCTGCTCCTCCCAAGCTTACCATAATGCTGAATTAAATCTCACTAATTCCAACGTTCTATAGTCAGTAAATTCTGGATCTTTTCTTAAATAGACCCTTTAATTTCACAGTTTAGAACTCAGGTTTGGTTTTCAGCATGACTGACACTAATTCAACACCATGTTCTTTTTGTAGACATTTTCAGGAGTAGATGAGAAACTACTGGTTTTGCTTATCAGTACATGCTGGGTTCACTTGAAGTAGATAAAATATTCATTTACCGTAAAAAGGTATTATTGACGCGTTGGTTAGACTTTGCTGAGAATTGTTGCAAGGTTGGTATTTTAAGCGTCCCAAGCTTACTATACTATACCTCCAAAAGTGCATTCAAAGCTCACAAACTTATATTCCATTGGGCCAGATGGGTCTTTTTTACCTGAATCAAGCCGTTAGGATGTGTTGGATTCCTTTCAAAGAAATAATGAACAATTTAGTTGTTACCTTCATAAATGTATCAAAAGCTTGCTTAAGTTGCACCCACGTATAAAATACACAACTAAGCATTATTCTTTGGAATATAGCATTACATCAGACAATATAGATGACACATTTCGTGTAGTAGACGCAGTAGGAGTAATTTGCAACATCATTTAATGGTTCTAACAATTCCTAACGTGCACAACAAAATGATTTCAAGTAAATGAACAGTTGTATGTATTTCATTGCTTATATACCACTTTTGTGACATAGGAAATTTACTTTATTTATGTTGACCTAGTATGTGCAATTCCCACAGGTCACTAAACTGAAAACTTAAAAAAGTAGATCACTTAATACATACATATATCTACATGTCCAAAATTAAAGTCACATTATACGTTTAGCAATTTTTGTTGAATTCTATTCCCATAGTAACAAAAAATGCATACATCCTATTTTGGACTTAAATGCATCAAAATTATTGTTAATGTATATTCACTCGCTAGACATTCGCATACATCTCAATGTACTTTAAATATCACAAATGCATCAAAATAGCGTGTGACTATCACACTACACTCACACCAAAAAAATTAACACGCCGTTATATTATGGTAAGTTAAGACTGACTTTAAACTGACTGTAACTTTCCGTGTCAAAATAAACAGACTGCCATTTTAACTTCTATTTTAGACCAATAAGAAGCCAGCTAGCCAACAGCCAATCAAAATCTGCCTATATCGCTTTTCGCGAGGTAATAGTTGGGTTAATTGATTTGTTAAGAAGTGCGAATGAACTTTACCTGTATATGTTAGACTGAAAATAAAAATGAAAATTATGTCACTTGTTATCGCTTAAATGTAGATTTCGTTTAATAAAGTTGAAGTATGTATTCGAACTTAGACAGAAGCGTATATATATTTCTTTCAGACTGTTTAGAGCAGTAGTTCTCTGGTTTATTTCACAAAAATGAATTTCGCAACTTAACATCTATATTCTATACAAAGTAGTATGGCTCAATATTATCGATATATGTATATCGATATATATCTTTGAAGAGTACTCTAAACGTTTAGAGTAAAGTATACCCGAATAATAATGTTTTATAAAATTTAGGAGCTTTGGCGGAAGGAGTGGGATTTTAAGGCACATTTAGGGTTTTTTGGGGAAAGATGACACATTTCCCGAAGTTTTCGCATTGAGTTGTCACTGTATTGCGTCAAAGTTTTCTGTTTGGTCAACGACCCAGGCGAGCGGGCATCAGCATGACTTTAAACAACCAGTTAGCTGGACCCATATTACTCTGTGGATAATACAGCGATAGACATAAACAAAACATTTCGATGTAGAGAAGTAGTGACATGACGGATATATGGTTGTTATCTATGGATATGTATACAGATATCCTGATATCCGTTGTCGAAAATCCTTACGAGATGGTAATTCGTTCTTTATTTTATTTCACTTGTCCTGTGGGTATTTCACCCGCGAAGCCAAATTGTCTAACCGAAAGTATGATTGTCAAAGGTGGGCTTCCAGCGGGAAATTCCCAGTCGGGCAGTTTTTTCGTAGACGTGAGGAAAGACTTGGGCAATTTTCTATTCGAAGGTGAGAGAAAGTAGGCTATATTTTTGAAATAATATAGGTTGGAAAAAGTAAATAATTTTTCCAAAATACGTGGGAAATGTGGGAAAAGTGAGTTTCTCTGTCAAAGCTGTGGAAAACTGAGAATAAACCGTGGTTTATGATATACCATGATATGCAATCGTCTCGATGGATTTATGTACCGAAATCCGTTTGGATTAACAGTAAGGACTCCATTGAGGAACAGTGAAACATTCTTAGGACGTATAAGAGGTCTCTACTCCGCAAAACTACTTTTCCTACCACCTACTTTCATTACCAAAGAAAATCTACAAATTACGCGTTTTTATTGTGGGCTTAAATGGTTGTTTGGTCAGGATCATTTTGTTGGTCGTTTGCTACGGTGGATATACTTTACTCTAACCTCTAAATTATTTGCTTTTGATAATTAATGTACGTAATACGATAATTAATAGTGGTACTTTTCGGGTAAACCCTTTAAGTCATAGGGACTTGAGTAGGCAGTTCCATAGAAAACCTAGAGATTTTGGAGAATACGGAGATACTTTTGTTTATTTCTCTCTCTATCAGTACATTAACCTACCTCAAAATGAGCACGTTTTCTATGTGGCTATGCTTATGTATGGTTAGACAGATTATGCAGAAAAATCTAAGCGTAGTTATTGATAACATAACCAACTTAAAACGAAAAAAATGCTACAACGCATATGTCCAGGTCGTATAGACTTTATGTAGAACACAGATTATTGAGCTTTCACAGTGTAACTAAATTTCGTTGCACAATTTAATAGGACTGTAAAGCTAGAGTATTTGAGATAACGACTACTCTAATCCGAACTATCCTTCCAGTTGTGAGTACAAACCACATTTTAAATATCAGTTTACTGTTCAATGGGAATTAAATAGATGTGAGTTTGATCCACGTTGACCAGTATAGCTTACAACCAAGTAGGTTGTCGAGTTCATCTAGTGATTGTAACATAGGCTACCTCTACCTTTACATCATCTTTATTAGTGTTTATGCATTGTGGAAGTAGGTCAACGTAAACCAAACCGGTTCATAAACTGTCAAACTCATTGTGTGAACGCTGCGAGCACGTATAAGTTGAATGGCTTTCTTCGCCAAGTTATTAAAAATACATAGGTAAATGGTACATTTTGGTATCGTTTAGAGAGGTGTAAACCTGCTCATTCTTGATGATTTCAAAGGTTTCACTGGCCTAATTTTGTGTACTCTTTCTTATTTCAAATTCTTATTCATCGACTGTAATATCATTGTTATGTAGTAACACTTTCTATATTCCTATTAGAATCCGTAAGTGATTGATTCTTTTGTACACATTTTTGTTATGGTAAGTGTTTTTCGTATTCCCAGAATGGCTGGCTGGATTCAACATAGAACTTGGCACCGAAGTGCAACAGTTCGAGTTGCCACGTTCCAAATAGCACACAAAGGTAGACAAGAAGATGAGTGAAGAGAATCAATAGAGTTTTGACAAGTATAAGAGCGAAACAGAATGAGTAATGGTAGAAAGGAATATGAAAGATTACAGAGAGTGAATACATCTGCGTAAGCCATTGACAACGATTTTGAGCCATGTCTCCAGCCATTGATTCTTAGAGTCCCGAGGGCCCCAACCCGGAAGTCTGCATCTCCCTCCCTGACTCAGTTTAACTGTCAAGGATTTCATGGATTGATGCCATGTTTTTGTTTGGCCACCACTTACTCTTTCCCAACCTGCACCTATATCAGCTAGTAATGCCCATCGTGGGAGGCGATGGTTAGGCATGCGCAGCACGTGACCTAGCCATCTCAATCTATGTAACTTTATAGCCTCTTCGATTGATTTTCCCTCTTTGCCCAACACTCTACGCCTAACGTCAACATTACTTACCTTATTATACTACCTAACGTGAGAAAGAGATCGTAGAGATCTATGATCAAAAACAGTCGACCTTTTCGTGTCTTAACCTCGTATTGGCCATGTTTCAGAGCCATAGAGAAGGACGGAGCGAACTGTTGAGCAGTACGCATGTCCCTTGGTTGATAGTCGGATGTCACGCCTATGCCAGAGATGGTCTAAGTTAGCGAAAGCAGCCCGAGCTTTTTGGATCCGAGCTGAGATTTCGTCACCAATCAATCCGTTGGTGCTGATACAACTTCCCAAATAGGTGAAGTGGTCAACATGTTCTATCACTTCACTCCCTATCACTAAGCTAGGAGTTGACGTAGTTCAGTCCTGTAGCAGCATCTTATATTTTACAGGGGTGAATCGCATGCCAAACATACGAAGATTGCTGCTCAAGGTGTTCAGAAGACTCTGCATTTTGTCAGCATCCTCCCCTAACAGGACTATGTCTGCATATTCTAAGTCCATAAGACTATTCCCTGGTAACAAGTCGATTCCTAATTCGTTAAGTTCAGTTAAGGATACTTCCATTAGCATATCTATGATGAAGTTAAACAGAAAAGGGGAAAGTGGACATCCTTGACGGACACCACTGGTTGTTATCAATTCAGATGACAATTCCCCTTAAGCCCTTACACGGCTACGTGAGTTTGAGTAGAGTGCCTTGATTAGTGCAATGTTCTTTCTTGGCACTCCCTTCACAGTCAAACATTGTCATAGTACCTTTCGATTCACGGAGTCGAAGGCCGCCTTCAGAATGGCTATTTATTGCCAATAGATATTCACTAGATTATCGGCTAATTGTTCCATAAGAAATAAAGATAACCAGGAGTTCATTGATCTATTCAAAATTATGTTATGAGCATAGTTGGGTGAAAGCCTACTAGATGGCTGACAAGTATCGGCTTTTCGAATAGTGGTTGTCAGTGAAATTAAGTAGTATGTCAGATAGTCGCTTCCACTGCTATGTGTGCTTTGGTTTCATTGAAATAATTATGACGCTACATATTTACATTTATAATAACATCTGATTTTTAGGCTGCTATAAGCTGTGGAAAACCATGAAATGAAAAATGATCTATTTTTGTTCTGCAAATACATTCGTTGTTGTTTTGCTAAGATTGCAGTTTAATGTAGAAAAGCTCCTAATTTAAGTGATTTTCACCTGGCTAAATATTATCCACATCTATTGGAAGACATGAAAACACTAGCTGTCTTTGATCATAGGTGCCTGCGTTCCATCTCCCGTGTAAAGTGGTATAATAGGGTGAGCAATATTGAGGTTAGGCGTCGAGTAATAGGTAGGCGGGAGGGGAAATCAGTCGATGAGGCTGTGAAATTACATCGACTGAGTTGGTTAGGACGTGTGTTATGCATAACTAGACATCGCCTTCCTCGACGGGCAACGTTAGATGACGTAGGGTCAGGCTGAAAAAGAGCTAGCGGCGGCCAAACCAAAACATGGCACTAGTCGACGAAATTCACAACAGTTAGTTTAAGTCATGTTAGGTGTAGACTTGCTGGTTGGGGTCCTCGGGATGGTAAAAACCAGTGGCTGGAGACACTGGGTGCTATGGCTCAAAATCGTTCTCAATGACAGTGCAGATGCATCCACTCCTTGTGACTTATGATATCCAATGAAACTATATTGTTCTTCGTTATTACTATTCCTTTTGTCTCATATTCCTGTCTACTGTGTCTATTTTGCATTTCTTCTGCTCTCTTCTCTTGCTTTGTGTGCTACATGGAGTGTTGTGCCTTGAACTGCTGTACATTGGTGCGAAGTTCTATGTTGAAAACAGCCAGACAGATCCAAATCTATCCGCTAGAGTCCTAATGTTAGTTAATGTCAGAAGTTTTGTGGACTGAGATGATCGTAGATTTTCTTTTTTTTATAGGTTAATGCGTATTAATTAAGATAATGGCTCTGGATCTTTCAAGTGTAAATGATACTTCTTTTGGAGATCCTTACTCAAGTACAATGTACAATAGTGTCTTTTTATCCTCGGATGTGATTTCCTTCCCTGGGACAAACGATATTCTATTCTATATATCTGAAGTAGGTAAGACTGCATATTTACAATGTTTTAGCAAATAAATATTGCATTTAGGAATTCACTAATGAGACATAAAAGAATAGAATTTGGACAGTGTATTAGAGTATAATTCCATCGTAAATATATTCTGTGATGGGACTAATGAGACAGTTAAATTATCCTTTTGATGTGCATAGTATATATATATATATGTTGTTGGTATTAGATGGTTGGAGGCAATCGGCCATAGGAAGCCTTGGACCTAGGTTTCGTGCTGGTTGGCACTCATCAGCAAGACGTATCTGCAACCTCGGAGGAACTCATGTCCCTTCTGAGATTCGTACCCGTGTCACCAGCCATTGCTGTAGTCAGAGACGCTACCACTGAGCTATTCGATCTCGCGATTGACCTCTTACAGGACTGTATTGGATGTTGTTGATTAGACACTAGTCAGTAACTAGTGTAATATGTGTATCTAATCTTATCTTCGGTGCAGGCTGAATTCTATCAGCATCTGTTGACATGGGTGCGAATCTCAGAAGGGACATGAGTTCCTTCGAGGTAGCAGGTACGCCTTGCTGATGATGAGTGCCAACTAGCACAAAACCTATGTCGAAGGCTTCCTGTGGCCGATTGCCTTCAGCCATCTAATACCAACAATTCACAGTGCACCGTAATGGCGAGCCACCTAGCATGGTAGCTATATTGCAAACTTGTCTGATAGAATTCAGTCTTCACCAAAGATAGGACTAGACACGCACATATCACACTAGTTACTGACTGGTGAGCAATCAATATATATAATATATATAAATATATATATATATAAGTCTACTTCGAGTTATTTCAATAATATGAAATTCGTCAATTTGAAATGATGCACTCTAGTGCGAAGTTCGGTCACTCAGTGACTATTCTGTCACTTCACGAAATCCGATATCAGTTCTGTCATGTATAAATCACATGCTACTTATTAGAGGAAAGATCTCAAGGAACGTTGCAAATATCCTTATATCGGCTGGGATAAAAATGTTGGCGAGCGCTTGATTTTCGTAACTACTATAGGTAAAGCATTTGTGAGTATTTGCCAAGAAACCACTTTCCAAACCCAAATTTAGTTTCTTAACCTTCGTATGAGTTTAGGAAACCATTGCACCAATTTATGTGGATCTTAAAGGTCAATTTTAGAGATATGACTCATTGGCTTTTTTAGCGTCGGTGGCACAGCGGTTAGGATTCTCGACGACCATGTACATGGTCCAGGGTTCGATCCCCGGCCGACGCACTTCTTTACCTCTCTAAGCCAGAAATACGTTGGTAAAGAGGAAAGGTTGGGCATGAGGCTAGGAACCCCATCCTATAAAAATAAACTTCAAGCCTCTAGGTTAAAGCCTATGTCCCACTGGGAACGTGAAGGAATAATCACTTGATTTACAACCAGTGAGTCGAAAGTTCTACTCCTGGTCTACCTACTTCAGGCTGGACAACTGGGCAGCATCATCAGCCCTCACACAATATGTTTGGCTCACAGTCAGATTTCGTGTAACTGAGTCCAAGCTAGATGTTACTTCGAGCAGTATCAGGAAGTGTAAACTACCTTAATGGAATTGATAAATCCTAAAGCTCTTTAACTGAAGCCTCTTGTTTTTCTATATCGGTGATAATAGCTCAGGTATATTTGCAATTGTCAAGCTTTTGCTTTGTACATATTGTAATTGAATTCAATAATAAGGAGGACATGAATAACAAACATACACAGAAAAATGGCAACACCAACACTAGGGGAATTAAAACATCAGTAGTGCTTTCCATAAAAGCTGGGAACCTATGAAGTCTTAAGTAGAATTCTTAACGCAGCAGGAATAAAGGTTGTATTCAAGTCCACAAACTCACTTAAAAGCAAATTATGCTACTTAAGGTGTCATGTAGAGCCTATCAAACGGAATAATTCAGTCTTCCTAATACCCTGCAATGATCATGAGGTTAAATACATAGGTCAAGGTAGTAGGACAGGGCAAACTAAATTATCGGAGCACAAAAACCTAGTCAAATCTGAGCTGCTTGACTGTAATAAGATAGGAAATCTAGAAAATAGCTCAGCTGTGGCGCTACATTCAGTTACACACAGTCATACAATAGAATGGGACGAAGTTACAGTCTTAAAAATTTAATGTAGTTGTGCGGAGGGAGAAGGATCGATAAGTGAAGCTTTATTTATCAAATTGACTGAAAACACCTGCAGTAGGAATGGTTTAACACCTGTCCCGGATATCTGGAAAATTCTACAAATGGGAAGGATGAGAATTGTGAAAATCAAGTTTAGAAATTGTGCAGTTACATTTGATGATATGATTACGAATCAAAAACTGTTTGAAACATCATCAGGTAAATAATACTGTCTCACTGTGTGTGTATGAGGTATTCAACAAAAAAATTTTCTATGAAAGTTTTACTCCTTTTTTTTTAAAATATATATATTTATATTCTTTAAGCCCATTGACTGATTTCCAAACTAATTGCAAATAATTATTTTGATTTTACAGGATTTCATCATGAACTGAAATCGGTTAGAAAACCATTGGAAAACCACCAGGGAGTACTGGACAGCTGTTTCGACCCAGTTTGGGACTCTTCATCAGTACACATCCACCGGGGGTTGGGCCCAGGACCTTCCGGTTACAAGGCGAGCTCATAGACCATTAAGCCACTGGGACCCCGGTGGGTGCGTACTGATGAAGAGTCCCAAACTAGGCAGAAACAACTGTCTAGTACACCTTGGTAGCTTTCCAGTGGTTCTCTAACCGACGTCAGTTCATGATGAAATCCTGTAACCAATCAAATCCATGCAAATCAAAACACTTGAATATTTTGATTTTGTTCGACTAATTTACATGTACATATAATAGTGTAAAGCTGTAGGCTGGTAAATTATACTATTTCACTGTGTGATATGTCTAATAAACAAATTAATGTGGAGTCTGTCATTTCCGGCCTATCCCAGTTAGTCTAACCAAGAATTCATGTTTAAGTTGTTAGTATAAGTAATACCTTCCATTGTATCTACACTACACCCACCGCTTTTTTGTTTCACTATACTTTGTATTATCCAGGTCATCTGATTTTAGCAAACTTCTTTGTTGAAAATTCTAACGGAAGTTATATTCTCAAGAAACTTCCATCTGTCAAATTTCCACAAACTACTTCAGGCGTACCGATTAACGTATACTCGGATAAAGGTTATTCGAATCAAGAAGACTATTTGTTGTCAACTTCAACGAATGGTTGTTCTAGTCTATTCGATTTAAGTACACCGACTAAATTCGGATGTATTGATCTGGATGCACAGTCGTCTGCTGCAGATCGTACAAATGTTTGCTATAGTCAAACTGGTGCGCAATGGACTACGCCTAATTCATCCTCGACAACAACGACGACAACAACAACAACTGCGTTATTGATTAACTCAGATTTGGAACAGGCTGTTGATGCTACTACACCTCGTCGGCAATGTGAAAGTGACTCAAAAAATTTGAGTAGAAATGAAGTCGACAATGAGTCACCATCTAATACAAGGTCGAAGTTCTTAGGACAAATCGGTAATAAATGTTTTACTTATAAATTGAGTTTTTATTTACTTACTATTATTATTATAATTTCCTTTAATTTCTAGAGGAACATAGGGCTTCAGCCATGCGTCTCCATTGCGTTCGGTTCTCTGCTAGAGTTTTCACCTGGCTCCAAGTCTGCCCTCATGCTTTCATCTCCTCTTCACATGACCTCCTCCAAGTCACCCTTGCACTGACGACCAACTCGCCACTCCCCTTTCGGGTTCCACTCGAGTGACGGCTTGTCTAGTGATGTCACTTGATGGTTTTCTCAGAGTATGGACAATCCATTTCCATTTCTTCCTGCCTATTTGTTTCACAATTGGTTCCTTGTTGGTTCGCTCCCAGAGATCTTTGTTGTTGATCCTTTCTGGCCATCTGATCTTGAGTATTGGGCGAAAGCAGCTGTTAATTACTTATTATTATTATTAATCCGCTGGGTTCCGACTGGAACATACACCTTCAACAGCATATCTCCGTTTGACCCTGTTCTCTTCAGTCGTCTTTACCTGGCTCCTTGACTGCTCGTAAGCTTTCATCTACCCCACATCACCCTCAGATCCATGACCAATTCGTCTTTTTCCATTTGGACTCAACTCGACGGCCCGGTGCATGGTGTCACTTAACGATAACCTCGATGTGTATCTAATCGTTCACCACTTTCTTCAGCTTTTTTGCTGGGCAATCGGTTCTTGGTTCGTTCCTTTCCAGATGTGTTTATTGTGAATCCTTTCTAGCCATATGATCTTTAGTATGGAGCGATGTGGACAGCTTCTGATGAAAATTTGCAGTAGCTTATTGGAGAAATGCTTTTCGTGATGCGTGTGGCAAGTTTCTGAACCGTATAGAAGCAATGACTGACTTGACATTAGTGTTGAACATCTAAATCTTGTTCCTTATGCTGAGTGCAGCAGATTTCCAGACTGATTTAAGACTAATGAGGGTTTATTTTGACTTTCCGATCGTGGTTGGCCTTGACATCTTTATCTGTACCACCCACCACCAATAGTTGAAATGATGGTGCTTAGATAAGTGAACGAGGTGACCTTTTTGAAATTTCCTCAGTTGACGGTGGTTGGTGCTTGTGGTTGTTGTTGTTGTTGTCGTCGTTGTTGGTTAGGTACTTGTATCTCCTGTGTCTTCTCTATGTTTACTTGAATTTCTGTCTTTGCTGCTGCTTCTGCCAACTTGTTGGTTTTTACCGGTAGATCTTCGAATTTGTGTGACACGCTAGACATTGATTCCACAGTAGTAGTTTGCTACATTTTCTTCCTAAAGATATCAACTTAAGTCAGGATAGCAACAGAGGTAATTACAGGTACAGACTAAGTAGAGGTGGGGTAGAGAATAATGCCATTTAAATTAGGACTGAAGTCGAGCAAATAAATTGGATGACGTAACATAAATGACTAGAAATTGAGCGTTGGTCAAGTCAGTAACAGCGGTAATGAAGTGTAGAAATTAAATCGGGTGTGGGTAGGGAACAGGAAAGTTGAAAATGTAAAATATTACAATTGAAAAGACAAAATAATACTAATGAAAAGACAGAAAGAAATAGAATTTACCTATCGGTTATTAAGATAGATCACGTCCCCATTGCAAGTGTAGTGATTGAACGAACTTCTTCTGTATGCAGAGTTCAGGACTTAGCAAGTGAATCGCCATTGCTTCTGCAGTTTGACGAAGTCTGATTGGTACACTTTTAGGAAGACTGCTTCGTATTCTGTAGATGACTTTGAAGTTTGTTTGGGGTGTGTAGTCTGATGTCCGGAGTAAATACTACGAGGAAGAAGAATCCTCCTTTCTCATTAGAATCAATATTAGTTTATGTTTGATGGAATAAAATCACATTGTAGATTGCTTGGAAAGCTGTTGAATTAGAAGTGTGTATGTAGTATAATCAGACAGCATTCAAATATCAGTAATGATAAAAGGTTGATTTGGTTACATTTGTGTAGAATAATGTATGGTTACAGTTGCAGCATACTTCAATAAGTGTTATTTCCGGTTATTGACTTTAAGGCTTTTTGCGTTTGAGGAAAGGCGATGAGGTAAAATGAACTCATTTTATAAGTATGATAGTAATATTGTGAGTACCATGGCTAACTCGGAATAATATCTGAACACCGAGTCTGATTGATAACTTAGTGCAATCCCAACATACCTAGGAAAATAAGTCAAGATACATGTAAATCCTTCATTGTGTTCCCGGCATAGTTTTCAGCGTAATTATTCAAGGTTCCCCAACATTATTGTATGCACCGGTTTTGATTCCCGGCTGAAAAACTGCTAAACCTCGCCTATTTTACTAGCCGGCAGTAAGGCCTGGGGATAGGGAAGGCTTGGCGTTAGTCTAGCAACCCAACTCCGTAAACAAACAACACCAATACTAGTGAATCTTGGAACTCCACTTGGAACGCAAGGAATGAAGATGTCATTTTTACGTGAAAGAACTTTCATATGAGGAGTAGGTCCGTTTTAAGCTTAGCCTATTTGCATGGTTTCGAATACTTTCAAATAGCGTCGGGAATCAATAGATTATTTAATTTGGACAAATTCTAGTTTCCTCAGCAGATCGATTTCTCCTACAGGTTTTGTATTTCAGAATCATTTAAAAATTTTTTATTAACGTCAAATGTATTTTCAAGCAGTGTAGATTAATCATGTTCAGTGTGAAGTGTAGCCTATTCTAGGATTTTCTTTAATTTGTTGAGTTTCAAATGGTCTTTGATTTTTGGAATCCCAAGAGCACTTAGGCGTCGAGTGCTAGGTAAGGAGGGGAAATCAATAGATGAGGCTGTGAAGTCACACCGACTGAGATGGTTAGGACATGTGTTACGCATGCCTAGTCCATCGCCTTCCTTGACGGGCAATGTTAGCTGACATAGAATCAGGTTGGCAAAGAGCTAGTGGAAGTCAAACCAAAACATGCCTTCATCAGTTAGTGAAATCCACAACAGTTAGTTTGAACCACGTAGGAAGGTGTAGACTTCCTGGTTGGTGTCCTCGGGACGGTAAAAACCAATGAAGGCTGGAGACAATTGGTGATATGGCTCAAAATCGTTCTCAATGGCTGGCTCAGATGCATCCACTCCTTGTGACTTATAATACCCAATGAAACTATTGTTCTTCGTTATTACTATTCTTTTTACCCCATATCTCTGCTTACTGTCTCTATTTTGCATTTCCCTTTACTTTCTTGCTTTGCGTGCTAGGTGAGGTGTGGCAACTCAAACTGCTGCATATCGCTGCAAAGTTCTGTGTTAAAACCGGTCAGTCAGTCAGGAATCCCAAGATGATTCCTTTTTATTTAGTGTAGTACATATCCAGTGGATTGTATATATGGGTGCTTGAAGTAACTCGTTCATACTTGTATCACTCTATGCTGGAACTGTAGGTACATCAATGTCATGCTACTCAGACACTAGTCGACTTATTCACATTGAGTCACTTAGGAGATTACTTGTGCCGCCTATCAACGACGTGGTATGACCCAGGGTGTGTAGATATTGCTGGTCTTCCTGTTGAAATGTTCTCATTTGGCCACTCGTTCGTAGCCTCTGCCAGGTAAATCCTATTTACTGCCCTCACGCGGTTGGCGGGGATGTTCCTCACAAAAGTGAAAGGTTAATCTCGAAAGTCTCGTGTTTACAACCGGATTGACGGACATGCAAGTCTACCTAAGGTAGCTGGAAAACTGATTCCAAACGCATGGCGGTGTACATGGGCTCCAGAATCCTATTGGATCGAATGGCGTATGGATTTGTTTTGTTCACCGGCAATCATGGGAACGTAGCTCCTGACGCTACTCTACCGCCTTATGGATGAGACTTCAAAGCGAAAGCTCGGAGGTTGTTCCCTTTAGACAACCACCTTCCTTGGTCTAGGGGTTTGGGCAGTATCTCAGCCCTCATAAAAACTATCAGGTATTGTATAGCCCTTCTCTTAGTGCCAACAGTGTACCACGTTTAAGTTTTAATAATAATAGTTTGCTAGCAAATTATTGTTGTTATTATCAGTATTACAGACTAGAATCTACTGGAACGGACTTACTTTCTTAGAGTTTTTAATCTCGCTCACTAATGAGTATAAGTGAACATGAAACTTTTCTGTTGATAACTTCTAATTGTTGAGAAGCAAACGAAGCTGATCACATTCCATCTGTTGTCATCTATGAGCACCTTGTGATTAAAAGTGCATAGGGTACCTTTATTCGATTAAGTAGTGTATGACTGTTGTAGTTGCCATAATTATTATCGACCACTATAACAGAATTTGACAATTTTTTGGAATATATGTTTTGTACTAACGATTTTACTCTATGATGTGGTTTATTTTTCTTTCCAGTTTCTGAACTGTTAGATAAATCAAAAACCAGGGTAAATACATCTGAGAATGAAGAGATTATTATTCATGGGCATAATCTATCCGAACTGGAACGTTTTGTCAACCACTTTCGACAGTTTCGATTGCGTCTAGGATTATCGCAAGTACAGTTGAGTGCACAACTAGCAAAGCATTATAACAATAAAGCAATATTCAGTCAAACGCTTTTATCTAGGTCAGTCTATGTTTTAGATAATGCTTTGACGTAACTGTGTGTGTCTATTTTCTTGATCTTACAGTTGTTTCCACTATGCTACTGAGCATTAGTTTTTAGAAACAGTTCTTTCCTAACAGGTATTTAAAATAAGCAGGATTTCATAGATGTATCATATTTTTTTTTGATTGTAGCTTGAAACCACGCCGTATTTTTGGTACAAGTATGGGATTTTCAGCATGTGATATCGGTAGCCCAAATTTTGCAGGCCGACCATTGATATCAGGGTGTGCGCCGGCAGGGGATCGAACCCCGGACCATGTGTATGGTCGGCGAGCGTCCTAACCGCTGTGCCACCGACGCATTCCGTATCCATTAGGTTTGACAATATGAAATTCCGGATTAACCTTACGACCTATTTTCCTAACCGCTTTGGGCAATACTCAAAAAGGCGACGTTGGGTTCACCAAGTTGTTTTACTTATGTAACTGTCTCCGAGAGAGCAGTTAAATTTATCACTACACATTGATGCAATGGCCAGACTCGGTAGCGTATGTTTCACTTGCTTTTGGTGGTGAGTTTAAAACGTAGTGTTGCAGCAAGACATGTTTTAGCTGTTATTTTTCTGGAGCTGTGGTGTCAGTAATTCAGTAGCTGCAAGTTCTGTGAATGATAAAGTCATATATGAATGCTACTGACCACAACGATTCCGAATGTCTATAATTAATATTAGTATGATTTAATTGTAAAGCCTGACAAGAAATCACCAAAAGCACGTATTCGTTTCAATTGTATTCTATAATTATGAGGAGTAGTTTAAGCGAGAGACTTGATAAAGCTACAGAAAGGAGTCTACTCTGTACCACAGATTTCATGTTCTGCAGCACTAATTAACCGGTATTACGACAGTGGAATTCACTTAAAGACACAGAACATCCATCCTTGACACCTGTAACTGTGCCTATCAGTTAGCTCGTGTCATATCATGATGCGTAAAACCGCAGAGCATTTTAATGTGTTTTATTGTCCCATTGCATTTGAAGACTTTCTATGAAAAACCAGTAAGCCTGCTAAATCAAATCCTCAATTTGCAAATTAATTTACGATTTGCACTTTAAACAGTTCGTGATGAAATTTTGCTACAGTTTCTTTCGGGAACCGAAATTATTCAGATCACCACAATATGTGGTCTGCTTGACACCATAAGTGACAATCAAGAAAGCAATCACTGGTGCCTGAAACTTTTTACTACTGGTTGGGTGACATGAATAGTTGGACAGTGCTCGATCAGTCATTCACTGGTGCTTGCTCATTTCAGTCAGTTAGCACTATATAGTCTCATGCATTCGTGCTTTCTTGATTGCCATTTGTGGTGTCAAGCAGACCACATATTGCTCGAGTAGCTAGCTCCAGAATTCGGATGATATGAATTGATTCGTCTCTCAAAACGGAGTCAAACTGGTTACATCCCTGATGAACTCGACCTCGGATAAGCGAAACGGCCGTCCGGTGTTTGCGTTATTTCAAGCCGGCTAGTAAGCAATTCTGGTTGGTATGTGACTGATGCCCAACTACTCACGTCAGTCACTCAGTAGTGTGTATCCTACAACTGTGTATTCTGTGGTTTTCATTTTTTTTTTAAATTAGTATATATATTGTATTCCTCGAAACCAGTGCATTGTAGTGTTGATTGGTTTTGCCCTTCTATTCATCTTTGGATTATTCTCTGTCCTTTTGTTTTCTCTCATAAATATGCTTGTTGAATTTATCCTTTTTGTACCATTCGGGCGAAATAATGACCTTAACTGATGCACACTATTGTGACCAGTAGTGTTTCGTTTACGTAGGACTGCTGATGTTTAGACTCTATTATTCGAATACACTTTAACTCTGGAGAGTAGTCACAGTTGTCTTACTGGATTTGTGCATTAGTCTATGTATTTTTGTGGATTATATATTTGACACCAGCTATCTAATGAGTTTCCTAGGGTTTTCAAATCCTCTATTTTATTGACTGCTACTTTGCTGACATCGAAATATTTTTACCATTTCTGAATTATTCGATACCTGTAGTCTTACTATTTCTTCTAGTTAACCAAGTTTAAAAAGACAGTCGACCAACATGGATGTAAGAATAGAACTTTGACCCTGTGGTAGAGTATAATTCAATCATACGATAAATGTATGCGATGAAAGCACACAGTGAGTGAGTGATACGGTATTATTTACTTACTAACGACGTTTCGAGCAAAATTTATTGTCATTCATCATTATCATATATCATGGCAGTCACATAATTTGTGTTGAATAAAACGTAGTGTTGGTAAGTGGATGAAGACGTTCTTGTCAAGTATTAGTTTTGTAGGAATTTTGTTTGATTGGATGGCGGATTTCATCATGAGCTGGCGTCAGTTAGAGAACCATTGGAAAACCAACTGGGAGTACTGGACATCTGTTTTGTCCTAGTTTGGGACTCCTCATCAGTACGTACCCCGAGGTTCAAACCCAGGACGTCTTGGTTACAAGGCTAGCAAGCTCATAGACCATTGAGCCACTGGGACCCGATCCAATGGCCAGGCCATGAATTCTAACTTCTGCCAATTCACGACATAGCGCGACCGTTTCGCAACGTCTTCTTCTTCGATGAGTTACTGCCTCATCTTCAACCTGGGTCTTTATTCATCGAATCTGTATCTAACAAGTGCCACAGGGAAGACGCATAGCCAATGCCTGAGATATGGAAAACATTACTACCAATAAAAACAAAGGATGAGAAATAACAGTGGAATTATATGAACGAAGTTTGAAAGTTATGCGTGACTGTCTTGATGTGATTATGAGTAATATATTGCGCTCGAAATCTCGTCCTTAAATAAATGATACTGTATCACTGTGCTTTTATCAAATAAATTTATAATAATAATAATAACTTTGAAGAAATTAAAAGACAAGAAAATTTTCTTTATCGAAGAAATCATCTTCAGAGGCTGTACAGTCGTATTTATATTTACGAAAAGTGTATAGTAGTACATTATTGTGTAATAGGGGGTGGGGTGACATAATTGACATAATTACTCAGAAATGGCTTCAAAAGTGGTATAAAGGAAGAAAGCGCTAGAAATTTGATAAGGTTAAAATTGTTATTGAGTGAGCTTTATTCCAATGAGTATTTTTGGTACAAATATGGAATTTGCAGTTTGCAGTACAGTATTGCATTTAATTTCCTCTTTACAAGGGTAGTGATTAAAATACGGCATTTGCATTGATAATGTTGTTCAGTATGAATATGAATGTAAAGTTAAATGAAAGTATTAACGAGAATACAGCAATGAAAAAGAAGTAGGGTCGTTTATTTAGAGTTCTGCTCCTGTGGAGCCAGTTACATAGGCCTTACAAGGCCGTAGGCGTGTTACTCGTCGAATTTCCGAACATCACCCTGTGTGGTTAAGTAAAGGACAAACAAAATCTATCCGTAGCGCTATTCTATCTCATCTTGTGGATAAAGAACACAAGATTGACGTTAACCCTGCTTTCAGGGTCATTTACCGCATACCAACGAATCTCAATTTTGCCTTAAGAGTTTGACTAATAAATATTTCTGAAGCTGTTAGGATCCATATTAACAAGCCTAATTTGTGCGTCCAAAAGAAGCTAGTTCAGACATTGTCCTTACCTTGGCCATCTAGGTTTGAATGATCCTGAATTTCTGTGGAAGTTTCCTAATTTTAGTTGAAATTCTATTTGCTACTATATGTTTATTGTTATTATCATAATTTAAGCATCTTTAATGAACTGTAATTCCATTGATCTTATTTAACGAATCGATATTATTTAAAAAACACTAATATTGTTATTGACTACTAATCTAGAATATTCTATGTATATAAACATATATGTAATTGTAGAACCAGAAGAGGAAATTATCGAAAATGATATTCTTTGCTCGATCATTTTGTGTTTTAATAGATGTCTGAATGAATATTTTCGCTTTACTTAGAGTTCCTCAGTAAGCTGGTAATGTCCTGCTTTACACTTTTCTCATCATATAAAATGGGTGCTAAATAAGGTATAGAAGAGTTTTTTTTTGCTTAGCCACCCAAGCATATAGTCTTCTATAGTTGCTTCTAGTTCTACCTGATGAGATAGATAGATGCAAGGAGAGAGTTATGTGTAGAGAGGATGCTCATAGTCTGACGAGATAAGATTCGCTAATTTCTTCCAGGAGTCCATGTGTCTATCTGCAACCAGTTGGTGTAGCGAGACCCTACTCGCCCTACTGATGGCTTTTAATACCCTTCGCAGTTGAAAACAAAGTTTTTCTTAAGTAGCCCGGGAAAGATTAAGGGGGAACAGTAAAGAAGAATAGACAAAATATAAGAATTAACAAACTTAGAAAGTAGAGACTGAGTGATGCCAAACCGTCTTAACTCCCTTACGTGTACAACGTCAAACGAAATATCTTTCTGGAAACTAACATGATGTGCGAAGACCAGGTAAGATAAGAGGAAATACACAGTCTAAGGTATTTAACATTCGATTTAGTTTCACCCGCTGTGTTGTCATCTATGATAGTGGGACCATGGGAACTTACCGCTTCATGTAAGTCGCGCTTGCGTCTGAAAATGAAGTTAATAGCCAGATATTTAGAGGGATTAAGCTTCAAACCACTTGACAAGTTGAAACGAACATGGATAGACGACTCAATAGAGGAGTTTATTGGTTGTTGCGCACTATTTTTGTACAGCCGGTTCCCTTTATTATTTCGCTGTGGTAACTTCTGATATAGTAAACTTGTAACTTGTACGTATTTTGGGATAAAAGCATTCATTGTCGTATATGTTTCTTTGCATTTACTAATCACCGTGGCTATCAAAAACTTCGTCAGTTTCATAAAGTCTCTGACGGCTGGTCTGAGGCCAGTCACATAAGGAGGTGTGGATTGCTTGGTTGGGGTCCTCGGGATTCCAAGAACCAATGACTGGAAACAGTTGGTAATGTGACTCAAAATTGTTCTTAATGGCCCAGATGCATTCACTCCTGATTTCCCATGTTTTCCCATATTTTTATTGATTCTCTTTCAAATTTCTCCTCACTGTAGTTCTTTAGAATCTCTTTCTCTGTTTTATATACCTTTGTTTCCCAAATGGAGTGTCGCAACTTGAGCTGGTGCACTTCTGTGCAAGGTTCTCTGTCGAAACTCAGCTAGTCAGTCAGTTTCCTCCCCCTCGCACACCCACACACACACACTTTATATTCTTTCTGGTATAGCTTAAATATGTATTCAACTAATAACCTATTTTGTATTCACTTTTAGATTTGAAAAACTCAGTATCACCGTTAGATCTGCCTACCGATTATTGCCTTATTTAAAACGTTGGATTGCTCATGCTGAACAAAAACAATGCAGTAAAATTGTTGCAGAGAAATTACCAGTCTTCCATTGTTCTATTCCTGTCCGCGCTGTAGGCAATGCTCGAGTTAATATGTTAGCTCGTTTAGGCCAAAGTCATAGCAATAATAATAGTGAAAATAATAATGGTAATAATAATAATAATAATTCCGAAAATCCATCTGTTTTGGCTCTTGTTACAAAGCAGGTAATGCGTTCTTGTTAATATTATATGATGTGAATCATATTGTATTGTATTATATAAAACTTTGATTATCCTGTTTAATTCAACTTAGATTTTCCCGTCGATTGATTGGACCGGAGTGCCTTGGTCTCAGGTTGACATGTGGGCTCCTAGTGCAGATGCTTCAGCGATGTCTGTTCATGTAGCTTGTAGTCAGTTGGTGGATGGTGAGACCGAGCAATTCGGTCCAATCAACCGTGGCGCAACTGGCGGCTCTCGTGGCCCAACTGGTCTAGTGGATAATGCTTTGGCGTTTGAAACTATGGGTAGTGGGTTAGAGCCTCGGGGGGAACACCATCACTGACTCACTCGGGAATGCAGGTACATTTAGATGATGAGCCCCAAAGTGGACAGGCGAAATGTGCATCCTGGTGGATTCCACTACTAGTCACCATCCACCAATTGACTTTGCTTATTCTGTGTCTCCATTTTCATCTCCATTTAATCTGAATCGTATTAAATAGTACGCAACGACAGAGGACAAAGGCTAGGCAACAGATCGTTTATTGAGAAAATCAAGAGGTATTTATAGATTTTGACGTACATTATTGTCACAGGAGAAGCAACGTCTTCTGCTGAAGGTTACTATGTATTGCTTGTGACCGTTTCTCAGAAAGTTAAGCGATATATCTGCGAATCGTATTTGCACACGTTAAGTCTGCTGTGATTGGTTGGTGAGCTCCTCAAGGTTAAGCTTTGTTATTGTTTTTTTCTCATAACCCTGATTCGGGACGTAACACTGACGTAAATAGCTATCTACAATTTTTCGTCTTTCGCAGCTAGCTCTCACCACAAGTATACGAAAGAATGAAATAAGCATTTTTTTTTCATAAGTCAATTTTGACTTCGCCGTTGATCGTTTGGACTGAAGTGTTTTTTTTCGATTTTTTTGATAGCAGCTTGATGCCACACCGTATTTTCAGTACAAGTATGACATTTTCAGCATGGATATCGGTAGCCAAAATTTTGCAGGCCGACCATAGATATCGGGTGTGCGTCGGCAGGTAATCGAACACCGGACCATGTGCATGGTCGGCGAGAGTCCTAACCACTGTGCCACCGACGCACAGTTTGGCTTCTAGTACATCCTCTTCAGCTATGTCTCAGGATCAACATCAAGTAATTTGTTGGTGGCTGACTGGCAGTTGTAATCAAGGATGCGCAAACTGTCCTATTTGGGACTTAACAGCTGGATGTACTTGTAATCTCTAGGTTAAAAATGATGGATACTGGGTCCGATTCTCAGGAGGAACACTATCAGTCATTGCAGATTGCAGGTATATCCAGGTGAAGAGTTGTAAATGGGACGAAATGTACATACCGGATTCCACTGCTAGTCACCTCACACTAAATTACTTCATGAAATAAGCATTTGTTGATACTGCTGATAGCTGACCATTGACAGCTGTAAAAACTGTCTGTGTTTGTCAAAAAAATGTTTGTTCCATTAAGAATATCCTTCTAAAAATATTTACAGCCAGTATTCTTTTTCTGAGTTGAATATTTGTCTGCACGTCTGTTTTGTTTTTGTTTTTAGGGTAAGAATAACAACGATAATGTAAGTAGTACTCCTTCAGTTTCAGAGAATATCAATCCTGATATATCTGAATCACCGTGTAAATTAACAGATCCACAGCAAAAGCGAAGACGTCGTCGACGGACTTATTTTTCCACGGAAGCTCTATCAATACTGACGGAGTTTTATGAGAAGAACTCTAGACCAAAAGGTATGCTTGTGTCGAATCCATTTTGCTATTTCAACCGCTAGACAATTATTGTTATATGTGTTATTATTACTCCTTTAGATTCCGACTGGAATCCTCTTTACAGCAGTCTTTTCTAGGTAGCTCCATGAGTGGAAGACTTGAAAAGATTAGCTGTCTTTGATCATAGGTGCCTGCGCTCTATCTCCCGTGTGAAGTGCTATAATAGAGTGAGCAATATTGAGGTTAGGCGTCGAGTGCTAGGTAAGGAGGGGAAATCAATCGACGAGGCTGTGAAATTACATCGACTGAGGTGGTTAGGACATGTGTTACGTATGCCTAGTTATCGCCTTCCTCGACAGGCAATGTTAGCTGATATAGGGTCAGGCTGGAAAAGAGCTATCGGCTGTCAAACCAAAACATGGCACCAGTCAATGAAATCCACAACAGTTAGTCTAAGCCACATTGGAAGGTGTATACTTCCTGGTTGGGGTCCTCGGGACGGTATAAACCAATGGTTGGAAACAATTGGTGACATGGCTCAAAATCGTTCTCAGTGGCGCAGATGCATCCACTCCTTGTGACTTATGATTTCAAATGAAACTTTTCTTCTTCGTTATTACTATTCCTTTGTCTCACACATCCGTTTACTGTCTATATTATGCATTTCTTCTCTTGCTTTGTGTGCTTCATGAAGTGTGGCAACTTGAACTGCCGCACATCGGTGCAAAGTTCTATCTCGAAAATAGACAGACAGACAGGCGGCCCCATGATTCCCCAAAAGCTTACATTTCCTCTTCATATGATCGCCTAGATGTCAACTTTGGACCCCCAACAAGCACGTCGTTTCCCATTCGGGTTCTACTTGGAGGGGGACCTGGTGCCCCTCATGTCAGTCACTCAATGTGTTTTCAATCCGCCTGCATTCCCTTCAAAATATTTGTTGGGCTATAGATTGTTGGTAGGTTCGTTGTACTGTCAGAGTTTCTTGTTGCTGGCTGACTATCTTATCCTCAGTATCGAGCCAGAGAGGGTAGCTGTTGATGGAAGTCTACAGTAGACTCGTGGAAATGCTTTCTATGATGTGTGAGCAGAGTCTCGGAATCATATAGAAGCACTGGCTGACTTAAAATTAATGTTGAGGCACAGCATGTTGTTTCTTATGTTGAGTGCAGTAGTTTCTTACACTGATTTCACATTGATAAAGGTGTGTCTTGCCTTTTCGATCCTATCTTTGACATCTTCATAGTTGAAACGATGGTGTTTGCGTAAATCAGGGAGGTGACTTTCTTTAGATTTCTTCTTACTAGACAATTATTACACAATATTCACGATCTCGGCGAAGCCTCTGAAGTAAAGACTAGTGATATTCGTAATTGTGATGGACTGGATGGTGCGGCACACCATGCGTAGTGAGCGACAAGACAGGAATACGTTTGGCCGATAAGAAGACTCTAGAAGATCTGGACTTCTCGGACGATATATGTCTAATTTCACACACATCCGAAGACCATCAGGCGAATACTAATAAATTGACAGAAGAAGTAGCAAAGGCCGAATTTCTAGTGAACACAGAGAAGACGGAAGTAAGTGATGAAGATGACAAATCAACACCAACAACAAAGTACTCTTCCATCACTTTTCTTGGCAGCATATTGTTTCAGCTACAGGCAGTCGGCACTGATGAGGAGGATGTCAAAACCAAGATCGGAAAAGTAAGGCGGACCTTCATCACTCTGAAATCATTTTGGAAGTCTGCACTGAGCTTAAAAAAACAATATTCGGATTGTCCAACACCACTGTTAAATCATCTGTTCTATATGGCTCAGAAACTTGGCTCACGCGTCACGAAAACTCATTTCTAACAGGTTACTGCAGACTCTTATCAGCAGCTGTCTGCTTCGCTCAATACTAAAGATCAGGTGGTCAGTAAGAATGAGCAACAAGAAATCCTGGGAATAAACCGACTAAGAGCCTATTGTTCAACAAGAATGCCGAAGAAAATGGAGATGGATTGGATGCATGCTGAAGAAACCGTTGTGTGACATTGCATGCCAGGCCCTCGAGTGGAAAACGACGAGTTGGGTGTCCGAGGGTGATATGGACGAGATCTTGTAAAGGAGGTATGTGTGCAGTCGTGAGGTCAAATAAGCTCTATGTGGAATTGTTTTAAATGATTCTTATACTTATTATCTGTCGTTCTATCTGTCTCCTTGAAAGGCTTTTAACTCATCATTTCAAATCTCTTATGCGTCCATTTTTACTGACTGAAACAGTTTTGTTTCCACGCCTAGTTTGAAGAGATAGTTTGAATGGTAGATCAATCTAACATAGTTTAAGGTGATCATGTATAACCCTTTGCATTTGTTACACACACACACACATATTAGGGTTCGATTAGGTTACGGAGTATTTTCAGGTATTTTCAACCAGTGGCAATTGATATGAAGTAATTTATGACTTATCCATTCCCTTGGAATTTATTTTATTTTGTTAATTAGCTGGTTATTACGAGAGTGTGCGTTGGTAGCACAGCGGTAGAATGCTCGTCAACCACGCAGGTGTTTCGAAGTTCAATCCCCGGCCGCCGACGCACTCCCTTACCTCGCTAAGCCAGTAATTAGACTGGTAAAGAGGGAAGGTTGGGCATGAGGCTAGCAACCCCATCCCGTAAAAGTAAATACCACCGCTAGCGAAACTTTAAGCCTATAGTTTGAAGCCCTATCTTCCACCGGGAACGTAAAGGAAAAAAATTAAATATTAATTGAGGAGGGTGGCTAAAATGTGTAACGCTTGGGCTTTGTGGTAGTTTGTAAATGCAAGATAATTGAATAATTGGATATCACATACACCCACCCAGTGAAACAGTATTGTTTACTAGATGAAGAAGTCTCAAGCTCATTTGTATCCACAGGACTCAAAACTGGATTTCTATAGTTCTCATACTTCTTCCTTCTCATTTGTCGTAGTGTTTTTTTCCTTCACGTTCCCCAGTGGAACATAGGGCCTCAGTCTAGTGGCTTGAAGTTTCGGTAGCAGTGCTTAATTTTACAGGATGGGGTTGCTAGCCTCATGCCCAACCTCTCCTCTTCACCAGCAGTATTTCTGGCTAAGCGAGGTAAAGGAGTGCGTCGGCCGGGGAGCGAACCCCGAACCATGTGCATGGTCGGCGACCGTCCTAACCGCTATGCTACCGACGCCTTGTCGTAGTGTTAGTAGAATTCTACACATATGCTGGACAGGTGTATGTTTGGCTGCTAGCCAAAGTTGGTAGACAGTAATTGACGTCAATGTTTATGTCCCCAATATTGGTGGTGAGAGACTGAGAACAAAGAATTTGCGTAGGCGGATACAGTTAGCATATGGATGATCTGACACAGCCACAAAGAGATGCAAGCTTAACTTTCTGTGAGAAACAACCAATCAAAAGACTGTATTTTCTACTAACAATAATCTACAATAATGTACATTAAAATCTATAAATATGTGTTGATTTTCCTCAATAAACGATCTGTTGCCTGGCCCTTGTCTTCTGTTATTACAATATTAGCTCGTCTCTCAGAGAGCGAAATGACCATTTGGTGTTTAGATCACTTTTAATCTGGCTAGCAAATCACTATTGGGTTGATATAAGTGATATCCAACTACTTATATCAGCCAGTTAGTAGTATTAGTATGTGTAGCACCGTGAATTTGTGTCTTGTTTTACTTCACAATTAACGTTTCGTTGTAATGGCAATTTTTGGTATTGACAGGAGCTGATTTTGGTGCATTGGCAACTCGTATAGGATGTGATAGAGAATCTGTTCGTGTATGGTTTTGCAATAGACGTCAATTCGACCAACAGTGTTCTAAGAAAGGATAATTTCGCTGATACACCTCTGACATATGTACAAAAATTACCAGTAGTTTGGAAGCGGGAGAAGACGAAGACTTGGTAAAGCAATGTTAATTTGAAAATTGGTATCTCTGTATAGCGGAATTATCTTCAACGCACCATTTGCACAGATCTTCGTGTTGTGGTACTTCTGGACTTCATATGGTATTTCTTCGTGTTCCTTTCGCATCTCCTATGTATCTCCACAACGCTGTATCATTTGTCTTCTCTTAAATCAAATGTATCTTCCTGCTATTTGATGCTTTCATTCCAGCCGATGAACGTCTCCTTATATACTACTGATAAATCTTATCAGTAGCACTTGCCGCAGTATGTTATTGTTTTTTATGTCTTACTCTTCAGTCTTTTTCTGCTTCACTTGGAGAAATACATATGCCGGTGTCATTACTTTTATCTGCTTCCTTTATTTTCTTTATATCCTTCTGCTCAAAGCAATGATTGTCATGTTGTGTATATAACGAAATTTAGTTTCAAATGCTTTTTTTCTGTTTTCAATATAATAAACTTTTTTACCTGAAATAGTTTGGATTTTCAAGTTTCGAGTTTGTGCTCTTTCAGCAGGTAAAGATTCTTTGTTGTTCAGTGATGCTGTCAGTGAGTTGGTAGATGTCCAAGATTCGCTGGTAAAGACAGTTGTTATGGGAACTTTTCTGAAAGGTCGGGCAGAGGCGGTGTACGAAAATGTGGGGCGGGCAGGTAGTGAATAGTTGGTAGTGGAGTCGGACAGCAAGACTGAGAGATGGGAGGTAATACAGAAGTTCCGTTCCGTGAAGCTGGGATTGGACGGAAATAGAGCGACTGGGAGCAGCGCGAAGTAGCGGCGCTGCCAATGAGTACCGGAAAAGATCAGTGCTTTGAATGTAGCAAACACTAAAGAAGATGCTACTCAGGAAGACGGGGAAGAAAAAATTCTGAGCAATATAATGTGTGTCCATACTCTCCGATAAGACTAGAAGTAGTGGAGGCAATCGACTGGGGAGCCATGTATTCTAAATTACTAGCGAAAGGCAAATAAGTCGTATGTTTAATACCTACAGGGGTTGCAGTCTCGCTAATGGAGAAGAATCCATATTTGAGCGTCAGACGGTGTTCACTGACAGTTCAAACAGTAGGTGAACACGTATTAAAAATCACAAGCCCGTCAGATTTCAGCGTTTATACTGGGTATCGCAAAGTAACCTTTTTGTTTTTGTTATGCTTCAGTTACGAGGATCATCTCTTGGGGCTGATTGTCTGCGATAGGTTAGTGTTATAATTAAGGCGAAAGACGCCAACCAATCAGGACAATTTATTCTCTTCTGACTTAGTCGAACTTAGATATGGCTAAGAATGAGTAAATATGACGTGTTTATTCCTTAAAATAAAGGTTAGTTACCAAGTCTCTCATTTGCTCCAATTACAATTCTTTGTGGTTAATTCTGTTGGGTGAACCAATCATTAGGATAAACTGAATTTCTCAAATTTACTCTAAATGTTTATTTACTGCATAAAGGTGTTATAATAATAATCACCTTATTCCAAACAATAGTTTTATTTATTTATTTATTATTTATTTAAACGCAGAAAAACTTGGTACAATATGGCACCAAGAAAGATGCGCAACACAATAATAATAAAACAACATAGATTAAAAGTAAAAATATTAGTAGAAAACGGATAAAGAACTTCATCAGGAAGGAAAACAGTCATGTTTAACAAGTTCAAACAGTATTCACTAACTATCATCAGGAAGGGAAGAAAGAAGGAAATTGCAACACGTTCGCCATTGATTACGATTCTTGGCCATATCCGATAACGATTCGAGCTATCTCGCGGACCCCAACCAAGGAGTCGTGACACACCAACCGATGCTAATCTAGCACAAATATCCTTCATCCCACGACGCCACGTCATGGAGTGACCACCCCTCCACCTTTTCCATCCCGTCCCAGGGCTAGCGAACAGAGACCTGTACGGAAGCCTCTGGGATGACATTCGCAGCACATGTCCAAGCCACCGGAGCTGGTGTTTCCAGATGACGACACTCAATGAATGGTGATCTCCACTGTGTTCAAACACACGCCGCCGAACCTCAGAACTACTCACGCGATGATGCCATCGAACGCAAGCAATCCTGCGGAGACAGCGATGATCGAACACGCAGAGTCGCCGCACATCCTCAGCTTCGAGAGGCCAGGTTTCACAGGCGTAGAGAAAGACAGCCCGCACCGAAGCATTGTATACCCGACCTTTGACAGCCAGGCTAACATCGCGACAGCGCCAGAGGTGGCACAAGTTGATGTATGCCACCCTAGCTTTCATTATACGGTTGGAAATCTCATCCGTCACCCCTCCGCCAGCACTCACACAACTACCTAGGTACACAAACTTATCGACAACTTCAAGCGGTTCACCCGCAAGAGTGAGTGCAGGTACAGGCTCCTGCCAATCTTGTAACAGTACTTTGCACTTAGACGGTGCAAAGCACATACCATGCTTACAGACACTGATCGCCAACTGATTAAGTGCGATTTGGGCAGCCTGCATGCTATCGCACAGTAAGACGATATAGTCTGCATACTCGAGGTCGAAAAGTCTATCTCCAGGTAGCAGATCTACACCAACTTCACGCACATCCTTCAGAGCTAACTCCAGAATGTCATCGATGGCAAAGTTAAAGAGAAATGGAGAGATTGGGCAACCCTGTCTAACCCCACTGTTGGTTGGGAACAGTGGTGATAGTTGGTTGTATGCCCTCACTCTACCTGAGGTGTTTCTGTATAGGGCTTTCAAGATGTTAACAAATTTCTCAGGTACACCTCTCTCTAACAGACAGTTCCAGAGCAGAGTTCTGTCCAACGAATCGAAGGCAGCCCTAATATCAAGAAACACAACGATCGTTGGCCTGCAATACGAGTGGTGGTGTTCTAACAACTGACGAAGGGTGAACACATGATCAATGCATCCACGACCTGAACGAAACCCAGCCTGCTCTTCGCGAATCAATCCTTCACGTATTTTGCATAGCCTGCGAAACAAGACAGAAGTCAATAATTTAGACGCGACTGGTAGCAGACTGGTACCCCTATGATTGTCACACGAATTACGTCGACCCTTTTTAAAGATAGGGACTATGATGGCTTCGTTCCACATTGATGGTACACTCTCAGTTTCCCATACCTTCCTGAACAACCCAGTTAGAGCCATTGTGAGAGTCTCGCCACCATCTTTAAAAAGAGCCAGGGGTAAATTGTCTGGGCCGGGCACCTTATGGCGTTTTAACACTTGGAGTTCCTTACGGACCTCCGCTTCGGTGGGTGGGTCGGTATTAACCGACCAAGGAGCACTGGGGCTAATGACAGCAGACATTGAAGCTGGTGGCCAGCTAAACTGTTTCCCGAAGTGCTCTGCCCAGCGTTCCAGGCGTCTTTTCAAACTGGTAATTGGCGTGCCATCTGCCTTACAGACCGTCTCGCTGACACCTTGTTTCTTGCTGCCGGTGGCTCGTATGAGTTGGAACAGCTTCCGACTGTTGCCAGATGCAGCAGCTGCCTCCATCTCCCCCGCACGTTCTGACCACCAGGCCTCGCGGTGCTTACGTAAACACTGTCTAATCTTGCGCGTGAGCGCCTTTCGCTGATTGTTGTATTCACTGCCAGCCGGAATGGACCGGCGTTCATCCATGAGTTGCAAGGAACTCGCAGAAACCCAGTGGTTGTTAGCGGAGCATTCTTTCAAGCCGCAAGCGGCTACACTAGCTCTTTGAATGGCACCTTGCAGATGGAGCCAATGTTCATCTATACTACTTGGGGGGGGGGGTTGTTGGCAAGCATTGATTGTAACTCATTCTGATATTTCAAACAAGTAGCAGGTGCTACTAGTTTGCTCACATCAACGTTTAGATGACGCCTTTCATGAACCCCACCAAATCGCAGGACGAACTTGGCACACACTGACGCATGATTGGAGTCCAGGCATGTGCTCCAGAAGGAGCGACATTCTTGTATGCTTCCTCGCCACCAGAAACTGACAGCAATGTGATCGATCTGAGTCCAAGCTTGGTTCGCAGAGGGAGGACGCCAGGTAGCGCTACGGCGATGGTTGTGCCGGAAGTTGGTGCTGGCCAGAAATAGGTTGCATGCATTTTCATGTAAATTTGTAAATTTATATGAAATACATTATTATTATTATTATCCGCGCAAAGCTGCAGAAGACGGTCCCCATTATCTGACCTGCGACCATGTAGTCCCCACTGACCACCTAGACGATTCTCCTCTGAGCTCAGACGCCCGACCTGTGCATTCAAGTCCCCAGCCAGCACTACGATATCCCTCCGACCCGCCTGTCTCAAGAGATCGCTAAGTTGGTGGTAGAACTCATCCTTCATTGCATCCGGGCTGCAATCCGTTGGTGCATAGGCAGAGACAACAAATAGACACCGCCTATCTGGCCTACTACTCCTTACTTTCGTATAACCTTCCAGCCTCACAGCACATAAACGACTGTTAATGGGAATCCAGTCGAGCAGTGCAGCTTCGGCTCTAGCGCTCAGTGCGACGCCGACACCAGCTACGCCGGATGCCGACGCCACAGGGTCCCCGGACAAGCACAGGTGGTACATACTACTAGAACTTCCAGATGGAGAGGATAATCGAAGCACTTCACTGGGATCTTGGATGCGAGTCTCGGAAATGCAGCAGACATCGATAGCGAGGCTTTCCAATGTTCTTACCAACCCTGCCTGTTGTCCGATTTGCATCAGCGCCCGAACATTGTAGGTGGCCAGCTTGAAGGCGGCACGTGGTTTCAGGATATCTGTGTTAGATGTCACATTGGGGACAGCCATTTTGAGGGTTACTCACTAACATCTCGAAACGACACAGATAGGCTGGGAATCCAAACAAAGGCGGAAGGCTGTCGAAGGTTAAGAAGTCAAGGTGAGCAAAGGTAAAACACAGGAAACTAGGTATAAAAATAAAATTAAGGTT